GTGCAAGGGGATTGAGCTCTGCACAACATTTACTTACCTTACTTTACCCCAGTGTTTCTCAAAGTGGGGGGCGCGCCCCGTCTGGGGGGCGCAGAGGCATATCAGGGGGGGCGCGAGAGACCAGGAGGAAAAATTGTTATGAAAAAAAAAATAAAGAAAAAAATGATGACGTCGGCATGACCGGCGGAACACTAAACTGTTGTGTCATGTAGTTACACTTAGAAACCTATGAGGGCGCTGTAGGACACAGGTGTGTAATGTACATGATGAGGATGGAAGGTCAAGCCTGCAACCCCGTTTTGAAGAAATGTGCAGTGCAAAACTGGCTCATTGCAGCCACTAATGCTGTGATAAGACACACTTTTTTGCCAAATATCAGCATTTTCTTTCTTTTTCCTTTTTTTGCAGATTGCAAAGTGGCAAAGTATTATAAGTTATTATTCTAGCAAAGGGATTGCACAATTGTATTATTTATTATTATTTTTGAGCACACAGACTTATGGAGCATTGTTTTATTATCACTGTTCTAGCAAAGTGATTTTTGAATTATTCTTTTTTAACCTCTTAAGCACGGCGATCCATTGGACCCCTCCCACTTTTTTTTTTTTGAGACAATGTCTCAGGGCTTCTTAACATTTATGAAACTATTAATGTGTAGCACCAGATTAACGGTAAGAAGCTCAGCTAACTGAAGATATGAACCATTTTTAGCTAAAAGAAACACAAGAGTAATACCAAGCCTTTGAATTAGCTTTTTGCGAAAAAATGCTAACTAATGCTAACGGAGTTTTGCACAGCACTCACTCTCAAAATGCCCTTATTACTTATCGTAACTGCACAAACAAGATATCCGATTAAAACTGAGACTCCACAGATTCCATACATGTAGTCTCATCACTGTACGACCCCGAATTTGCGGAGCTTTCAGCCAGAAAAGAGAAAGTAAACAACATCCGGTTTCAAAAATATTACAATAATTACATCTTACCTTTTTTGATATGTGATCAAAAGTTGTGTTCAACGGAATAAAAACGCCGCTCAAGGTTAATCCAATGTGTCTGTGTCACGTAGAATTTTTTACTGATAATCCATCATCATATTTATGGCAATAAACTGGGTATAAAGTTTTGCAGTCAAGGCTTGTACTTTCAGATATGCTTCGTTTGCTTCTCTATTACCTCCGCAATGGAAATGTTTACGTGGATTTGGGAACTGCCCATCGGATTCTATTGGATCTAATGGTTAAGAAAAAGGTGTAAATCACTCAAATCGACCAATGGGTTCCATAGATATGGTCTTGCGTAAAGTATAACGTATGACAGCCAGCGGCAGACCCATTACACAGCAGACTCTACGCCGTGTTTACTACGTAAACAACAGGAATTGCAGCAGGACCCAGAGCGCACAGAGCGGACAGCAGATAACGGAGCAGATTACAAGATTGGCGTTTAGGACTTTTTCTATACTTTGACTTTTGTCAAATAATGGCTTGCAGGAAAGAGATGCTTACTACTTTACAGGCAATGGAAATGGTGACTAATGTTGACAGCGATGCAGATATGTTACCCGTTGATTCTGAGTCAGACGACGAGGATCTCCTGCAGCCAGAACAGAACCCGGAGCGTTGTGACTCTGATGATGAAATTCCACCACGGGAAAGGTATGTAATCTCTGTTTTTATCTATTACTTATTTATTTGGTGTACGATTATTCATATAGTAAATAAAAGCGTCTGCTAAATGTAATGTAATGTAATGTAATGTACGCTCAAAATGGCATGTTTGGCAGGAATTAGAGGGATTATTTACAAAAATAGTGTTTCTTGTCTGTTACATTTACTAAAAGTATAGGCCAGTGTTCATCTATAGTCACTAAATGTATTGCATTCACAAACTCAAAATGGCATGTTTGGCAGGAGTTAGAGGGATTATTTACAAAAATACCAAATAGTGTTTCTTGTCTGTTACATTTACTAAAAGTATAGGCCAGTGTTCATCTATAGCAGGGGTCGGCAACCATTTTGATATGAAGTGCCATTAAAAGAAAAGTTGTTATCAGTGTGCCAACGATCGAGAATTATCAACGGGGGGGGGGTGGGGGGTTGAGGAGCTTGACGCTCGTGAACTATCAACAGGAGGGCGGGGGGGCCTCGCTGCGGGGAAGCAGTGTGTGGACCTGTCAGCGCAACTTACATGATACCGAATTTAACAAACACATTTAAATAATTGGTTTAAACGGCATAATAATAAGGATGATCGTCCGTTCTGTGATTCTCCAGAACACACATGTTATGATATTAGGGTCATGCAGAGTGAGATGAGATCGCTGTCCCTTTAAGAGAGAGAGAGGGGTGTGGTGGCGTGTGCATGTGTGTGTGTGTGTGTGTGTGTGTGTGTGTGTGTGTGTGTGTGTGTGTGTGTGTGTGTGTGTGTGTGTGTGTGTGTGTGTGGATGGTAGAGCGAGAGTGAGCGAGCGTGTGTATGTTTCTGGAAGTGAAACGAGGCAGCAGAAAAACAGAAGTCTGTGTTGTATTTTGTGAAACAGAAGAACAGCTAAATAAATGCAATGGCCTCCCAAGAAGAGCTCGCCTCTCTCCAGTCATTTAAGCTAAAGTGGGTTATTGAACCTGAAGCTTGTTGCTTCTGCCCTCCTCGACTACGGTCTGGGAGCCGACAGGAAAGTTCAACACACAGATGGCCAGTCCGCCCCTTTGTAGCATATCATTTCAATGAGAGATGAGCAGATCGCCACTGGGCTTTCAACTAAAGACACAGCCACGCAAAAACTGCGGCATTTGTAAAGCTCATTATGGGTACTGCAATTTGTGAAGTGCTTTCCTCTGTGATGAAACTATCAGCACTGCATTACGGAGGAAAGCGGCAGAAAGTCACCTGGAGTTAAAGAGAGCGTGGCTGCGCTGCGTGCATGGCTTCCTTCTGCAGGTAACGGGGAGACGCGCTCTGGCGGCGGTCTCGTTCAGGATCCGAAAATACAATTTAAATATTTTGCACACTTATTCCACTTATTCCTAGTGTGCCACTGGTTACGGTGCCGCGTGCCAGGGGGTTGCCGACCCCTGATCTATAGTCACTAAATGTATTGCATTCACACACTCAAAATGGCATGTTTACTGCCAAGGAAACAGGAATTACAGGAATTAATCTAATCTCTTTGTTTTTCCACATTTGTTTTCATAGTGATGGAGATGAGGATGAAATGGCTTCACCATTGCCTACTTTCACCCAGCCCACACCTGCCACACCTGCCTCACCCTCACATTCCTCAACTTCTAGAAAGAGATCTGCACCAGTATTGGCCACTCAGCCTGCATCCAAAAAGCACTCACTTCCAAAGCTACCATCGTCTGGTTTCTACCAGCTTTCTGCAGCGTCAGATGCATCTGTAAACCAAAGGAAGCGTGGCCGAGGTGGGGCTCCCGCTCCTCAGCCAGGAAAAGGAAAAGCATCAGATAAATGTGTAAAACGCAGCGTTCTCCACAAAACGATGAAATGGTACAAGACTTTTTTTTACCATTTTGTGGACATTGCCGTGGTGAACAGCTTCATTCTCCACAAGGAGCTGCACAAGATGACGAGTGACCCCAGCAGGACAAAGCCACACACACAGAAGACTTTCAGGGAGCAGCTTGCTGCAGAAATGTTGGAATTTGGAACACCTCCACAGGCAAAACAGGCTCAGGGCTTAACAGGTTAAAGGAATGCTGACTTTCATATTGATGTATTTTAATAAATGTTAACTTGGCCCATTATGTGACTATTTGTGTTGGGGGGGGCCCGACTTTTTTTTTTCCTCCAAAGGGTGGGGCCTGACAGAAAAAGTTTGAGAACCACTGCTTTACCCCAACTTTAATGAATGAAAGCTTTAAAGAACAGGATTCACATATACTTTCTCATTACTATACAGCACTTCAACATCTCTCATACAACTCACTGCTCCATGTGTTCACAAAAAAGTTCATTATGCATTCAGAACATTGTTAAAGAGAAAATGATGCAAGCAGTGACACAAAGAAAATGTTGTGATAATCGTAAAAAAGTGATTGGGGAAAGGGAAGTTATATTTTGACTTAAAGTTGTCAGATAATTGACTATCCCAGTGATACAGTAACATGCCATTTTTTAAATGCTATAATAAAGCATAAAATAAAAGCAAGTGCTGCAGCTGAGGCTGCTTTACACAGATAACCAAAATTGAATGTAACATTTACTTTCTGCTAAATATGCCCCTGCTCTCTATTCTCCCTCTGACTCTCCTCTCTTCTTCTTTTCCATCTCCACCTCCCACTCTCTATTTAATCTGAGTCACTCAGGGTCATGTCTAACACATCTCCATCATAGTGGGAGGATGGAACAAAAGAACACATGCCACAAACCCAAATCTGTGTATTATGTTGCAGCGTGCAAATGACTGTGGTTTCCTTCCTGTAACCCTGGTGAAACCACTCCCATAGGATCATCATCATCAACATCCCCCTTCCCCCCTAGTCCCAATTCTCCCCGGCCGCTGTACAATAGCTGCCCACTGCTCCTACTACTAGGATGGGTCAAATGTAGAGGCCAAATGTCACTGCGTGTGCTGTGTGCTCTGCATGTGTGACCATTAAAGAGGGTTTCATCCCTCAGATTCTATCATCATCACCATCAGCATCAGAATAAACAGATCTACAGCCTAATATTTCAAACTACTTTCAGACCGTCTATTTAACTCCCTTTTAACTCTTGTGCCCTTTACTACGAGGGGCTCCCGCTCTATAAAGTCAAGTCTGTTTGCTTTCGGCTCCATCAGGTCTGTTCAGACTGCACCTTGGTCCGTTGAATGAAATTAAGAACTTGTGTAATAAATTCATCTGTAATATTTGAAAGTGGTTTTCCATTGTGAGGTCAAAGTAGGTCAAGTCAGTGACCCACATAGCATGAATATTGTCAGAAAGTGAAAAAGGGAAGAATAAAAACTAACCGAGATAAAAAACGTTCTCTTACCTGTCCTGTGATTGATCCTCATACATCCTCTCCTTTCCCTCTTTAAAAAGCCGGATGGCCCGTTTAGATTTCCTCATAAGGCTATCAATGTAGACTTTGAAGAACTCATTCTCACTGAGCTGTGTGAGTCTCTGGTTCTCTTCATATTTTCCCAGAGTGAGCCGCAGGTGCTGGTAGGCATCAGGTAAGATATCCAGGATGTACGGTGGACTGTTTTTCAGCTGGAGTCTGGGATTTTGGCAGAGGCGGACCTGTGGTAAAAAATAAACATGAATTACTGCTTGTTTTATGTCCTTACATGTTTTGTTTACACATTTGAGAGGGCTCTGCCACCAAGGTGCATCACATGTTTATTGATTGAATCTTATTAACTGAACAAACTCTTACTCTGCTCAAAGGGAAACTCTAAAATGTAACTATGGTAAAATATGTAAAGAGTAAGCTATTATGGAAATGATTTACTAATCTGTAAGACATGTGTTATGATGTCAAATTATTTTATTGTGTACCATGTAGTATGTATGATTTTTTTAATGTGTGTAGAACTGCAAGACAGGGTCCGGAACAGATTTCCTTACAAGGACAATAAAGTATACCATAATGTATCGTATTACTTTATTATCTTTATTGCAAAGACACACTTCTCTCTATTTAGTATCCGGTGGAATGCGGTTCAACAAATCAGTGTTCTGCTGTTCTTTTTCACATCAACAATTAGTTATCATAGTGTCAGAGACAATTAACGACTCTCCTTGATTTAGAACATTAGAGGATATGAAACATATATTTGCATGTATTGAATACACCATCAAAACATGATCAGAGAACACATACTGTAATTACACATTAGCATTTGCTCTACCTTCCATGTGCATCTATAACAAAGTGCCTCCCAGCATGCAGCAGACAAGCTTCATCACTCCAAACTTACAACTTTATCCATGAGTTTCCAGGTCTTCTCCACAGTCCTCCGGTCAGCAGCTGCTTGCTTCGGTGGCCCCACTGCATCCTGGATAGCATCAATGATTCCTAAAATCCGGCCCTTGCTTCGGTTAGGTCCTCTCCCCCCAGGGTTTCGTCCACTGAGAGCAGTTGCCATGTCCTAAACACTGAGCCAAACAATAATGATAAGAGACAGTTCCCTTTTTTCAACTTATACATCAGATACAGTTGTTCCTATCCAGTCACTCTGACTGTTTTTTTCTGTGTGAGCATTATTGTCAATAGTTTTTTAGACAGAATTTTTCAACTTTTACATGAAAGGAAAAAGAGCTTTATATTTGTTAGTGCGTTAACAAAAGTAACCCCCAGGCACCGTTAACATCAGTGCTGAGACCCCGCCCCGGCGCCCTCACTGGGGGGGGGGGGTCTTTCTGTTTCTCTACAGATGTTCCTGGTTATAGAATGTGCTGGTAGGACTGTTCAGACGGATACTCTCTTTCACCTACAGTCCAGCGGCGTGTAAAGCTATACGGAACCAAAACTTTTTTTAAATGTGAAAACGTTTTTGTCCACTGACGATCATGTAATTATCAAACCAATATGTTTCATTCAATTTTGAACTGTAACCAGATTGGTCTGCTGGTCTTGTTGTGTTGATCTGGTGTAAAAGAGTGTTATTAAGGTAGTATAACCCCCCGTCCTGTGACCGAGCCAACGTTAACGATCCAACTCACGGTCCTACAGTAAGTGTTTTAAACAGGAACTAACAGAACGGATCAATAGCGTGGAAAAACACAAGTCCTAACTTACTAAACCACCAGGGGATGTCTGCTGGGATCCCGGTCCTCTCGGTCCACATGCAGCGCACACACTGAAGGAGTGTCCGGAGGTGGAGAGAGGCAGAAAGTATCCAGCGTGTAATCCCTTACTTAGAACAACCCTCCATGTTTTAGACGTCTTTAAAGCAGTTGAGCTGGTCGCTCTCTACAGGGTGCTTCCTACAGCCCCTCAGTGTGAAGCTAGCTATCATAGATACACATCCAGCTGCACATTTCAAAATAAAGCTTCCACACAGCTACCAACCAAACATAGGCTACATTGGATTTGCATTTTGGTTCTACATAGTCACATGTTATTAAATTGTGTTGTTCAATTAAGTGTTTCAGGTTAGTAGTGTTGTAATCTCCCCATTAAAGACCCTTCCGCTCAACAATGATACATGTTATTCCTTTAATGTGAAGGCATGGCGGGGGTTTCCGGTTCTGTGTCAGTGCTGTTGGCGGGAGGCGGGTCAGTGGCAGGATGAAGCATTATTTTCCAGGAACCGATCAACGCAATGGAATGGCACCCCACACTTAGGCAGCTCTGACACGGGAGAACAGCTTTACATTATATTCAGTCTCTGGATCAGCACCACGGACAAAGTTGACGGCTGACGTCATAATAATAAACAACGTGTTCCTGAATGTTTCCCTCTTGAGCGTTTTAATGATTTTAAAATAAATCTTTGTTCGTTTGTATTTAGCTGTTTGCTATAGTTTATTGACTACAATCGAATATTTTGACACCAGCTGTATACATGAGCACATGAATTTGCACACGTGCACGTGAATGCACATCCATTGGGTTATACAAAGATAATAAAGGCCCACATATATAAAATAACAAATAAAATAATAGAGAAATTGTAAAATCGTGTTGGCTGATACTGTACAAAGAATCGAGAAACGTTCTGGTTTAAATAGATAAAGTAACAACTATAATACACTGATATACATTCCATTAAACATGACTAAATACTGACATCAGGGAAGTTGACTGTTCCTTCCTTGCAAAAAGTTACATTTAGATTTGACCAAGCAACAAGCAACATGATTTTTTTGTCAGCTTTCACATGTCAATGTATTTAAGGCAATTATTATTTTACTTTGTGAAAATTACTACCATTTGTCTTTACATATTGTCTGTAAAAACGTGGTAAAAGTGGTTCTTGCAGTGAGACAACCAGAGGTGTGGACTCGAGTCACATGACTTGGACTCGAGTCAGACTCGAGTCACCAATTTGATGACTTTGGACTCGACTTGACAAAATCACAAAACACTTGCGACTCGACTTGGACTTGAACACCAATGACTCGGGACTTGACTTGGACTTGAGCCTTCTGACTTGAGGTGACTTGATAATTTAATTCAGGGTTCTCCAACACGCCGATCGCGAGCTGCCGTTAGAAGAGCAGACTCCCGTCGGGGAGAGCAGAATCTTCAGCCGCTGCAACTCTTGCTGAGAATCCATGCAGGCAGGGGCGGGACTTTATTTTGCTGAGCCACCATGCGGCCAATCATATGCGAGGACACACTAGGATCATACCATTATGTGAAAGAAGGGTGGGGGGCAGACGCTCCAAAGACAGCAGGTGTAGTGGTACAGGCCAGCTACACAGAGCGACGGGGAGCCGGATTTAAATGCAAGCGCGTCGGAAAAAGTCAAGAAATTTGCGAAAACCAAAAAAAGAAGCAGCATCTGGCTGCATTTCAATGATATTGGAGAAAGCAAAGCTGAGTGCAGGATTTGTAAAATGAAAATAACCTTCAGAGCAGGGTTTTTTTTTTGGTAACCACTCAGGATTTATTGCCAGAGGTGGGAGAAGTTCAGATCTTGTACTTGAGTAACAGTACCAGAGTGTAGGAATACTCGGTTACAATAAAAGATCCTGCATTCAAAATGTTACAAGTAAAAGTACAAAAGTATTAGCATCAAAATACAGTTAAAGTACCACCTGCAGAGGGATCTAGATTCAGGTGTTCTTTTCCCCATAGAGACGCCTCGCTGCACATTATCCCTTGCATAAAGATAGGTTGTGGGTCCCTTATAACATGCTGTACACAGTGGAAATAAACATTCTGGTCACCTCAACATCAGGGATCTTATACATTAAACTCCTTCTGAATCAAACCGTCACGGTAGCCTAACCTTACTGATCCCTCTTACAATAGAAGAAAAACACGTTACTTTACCAGCAGAGAGAACATTTATTATTAAATTATTAATGTGACTAATAAAGAGCAGTTTGATTATTAAGTATTATTCTGTTGATCGATGTCATTACATTTGTTGAAAAACACATAAGGACTTGTTTAAGACTCGTTTTGTCAAAGTTTAGGACTTGGACTTGACTTGAACTTGCCCATCCTGACTTGAGACTTGACTTGGACTTGAGCGCAAAGACTTGAGACTTGACTCGGACTTGAGCGCAAAGACTTGAGACTTGACTCGGACTTGCAAAACAATGACTTGGTCCCACCTCTGGAGACAACCGAACAGCATGACACTACAGTTGCACTAAGTTCTGGTAACAGTTGAATATTATTTTAATAATAACATATATTTTAATGTTGATTAACCGCAGAATGTTCATTCATAATCTGATTATCTTTGTAGTACAAAGTGATCTGCACACCGAATAGTGTGTTGGCAAACAGGACCATCATTTGTTTGTGACAGCTGTGCCCAGTATGGGCTCACCAGGGGCGTCGCCTGGACCTGAAAACATTCGGGGCTTAGCCCACAGTGGCGGCGGCGCTACAGTGGAATGCATACCTGCCAACCCTACCGATTTGGGCGGTAGTCTACCGCTTTTGACATGTTTCTACCGCCTACCGACTTAGCTGACTCTCCCTACCGATTTTCAATCTTCCCAAACTATAACAAATAAAAATGACACTACATAGACACTGGACTCGACTTTTGGCGGACACCGTTTGCAGCGTGTCTGTGATCCCATCATACAAACAGTCCTCTGTGTTTCAGTCGATCGCGAGATGTGTCTAAAAATAGAACAACAATATTCTGTTTTATCGTTAATGTCCTATAACATAATCTTCCTGTGCCAGAATAATGCACTTGAACGCATCAAAGCTTTGTGATTGGCGTGACCCCATGTATCGGGGCGTGGCTGGTAGTCAGTGGGCACTAGTTTGCTGTGCAGTCCGCACACACAAGACCACAATTATGGCAGAAGCAAAAGAGCCCCAAATATATAATTTTCACTCCGAGTGGGAGGATGATTATTTTTGTATCTATTCCAATTCAAAGTCCATCTGTCTCTCATCTGCAATGCGAGCGTGGCTTTATCGAAGAAGGGTAATTTAGGAGCGGCATTTCAAAACAGTGCACAAACGCTACGAGACGGAATTCCCTCCTAATTCTGCCCTACGCTCCCAAAAGGTGAGGGACCTGAAAGGACAGCTAAATGCACAGCAGTCCATTTTCACCAGGCCCAACAACAAGAGCAAGGCTGCTACCATAGCATCTTATCGTGTCAGTCACGTTCTTGCGAAACACATGAAGTCTTTCAAAGACGGCGAAGTTGTGAAAGAAGCATTCCTGGAGGCTGCCGAGGCGCTTTTTGGGGACAGTACAAATAACAGTAGCATTTCAACAGGTTTTTGATATAATAAAAACTCAAGTTAGATACCGTTATTAATCAGCTGTAAGTTTTAGTTTGTTTGAACTTATTCATTATAATTATTGTACAAAATGGTATAAGAATGCAAACTTTAAGATCTGTTCTGTTTAAATTGATTATAGTCTATTATCAATTCAGGTTAAGAAACTAGTGTTGCTTGCATCCTATTTTAAAGGCATTTCTTTTTATACTCTACTAAAATGCAACAAAAAAGGGTTTGATTCTATAAATGTTGTCTTTTTTATTGCACTCTGGCAGCAGATTCCTGTGTAGCTTCAGATCTGAGTTGTCTTATTAGTAAGCCTAATTTATACTTTTGTAGCAACACTATTTTTATATAATGGCAAAGAAAGGGTTCAGTCTTTTCTTTTTTTCCTGTGTCATATGTGGCAGCACTGTTCAATGTTTCTTGAAAACATTACTGTAGTTTGTGACGTGTGAATAAACTCCAACTCTGTATCAACAACACTGTTGTGTAACTTCAGTTAAATACTTGTATGTGTGTAGATTAGAAAGAGGTAAGATAAAGGATCTGCAGTATTTTATGAAGTATTAATCGTACAAAGGTCAGTTTTATACAAGTAGAAGTGTGTATTTACCTGGTAGTAGGCTGTCAGTAATGGCTACGCCTCTCTATTTGGACTGGTAGATCTCGGCAGACTGGCAACTTTAAAAGTAGCTCTCGGTTCAAAAAAGGTTGGGCACCCCTGATCTACACTGTCAAGGTTCAAGGTTCTTTATTGTCAAACTAACATAGCTACAGAGTAATTATGTTGTTGAAAATCTTATGTCACAGGCTTCTCCAACAATGCAACTGAAAGAGGACCAGAAACACATTAAAAATATAATAAAATGTGGAGACTTTGGGATATTTATCTCCCATTCTTTTACTTTTCGGGCATTTTACAGACCAAACATGTCGTTGATGTCACTGTTTACCAAACTACCACTTTTTCTGAAAAATGCATAAAATGATGTTAAATGGCAATATATGTTAAATACATGGTTTATACATGTAATTACTGGGGTTCCATTTCTTTTGATTACCTAATTTGGGCGTGCACATTTGCCGCGCGCAAACCTACCTCTTTTGGATTTGGAAATGTTGGCATGTATGGGAATATTCTACTACAACACTCCCCACACACACACACACAGTATACCCGCGACTGTTACAATGAAGGCTCGATAATCAGCTCACGGCATATAGGCAGGGGTAAAGTGCTATTTTTTATGAGTGGGGGGGGGGGACCTAACCTCTTCTAGGGGGGTCCGGGGGGATGCTCCCCCGGGAAGATTTGTTTTTAAATATTGAAGTTAAAAGCATCAATCTGGTGCACTTTGAGAGCAACATTAAGAGATCTATGGATACATCTCTCAACACCCATTTGAAACAGAACTGTAAACAGATTGACTTTTTCTTTAAGGATATTTTACAAATCACTCCCCTTTTAAATTCTATTCTTGTTTTACTGCCATATAGTATTTCATAACTGTTTTTCCTTTATTCTCTTTATTTTTTTTATAACTAT